ATGGTTAAAGACCGTATTTTGGATTTCTTCCTGGTTTATTGTGTCATCCCAGCACCGTAGGGATGGATGCTTTTGGGGACTCGGCTTGGTTACCAAAAGTTCAGGACCCCTAATTGATTTTAGGGAAAGGACATGGGCAGCATCATTACTTTTAGTGGTGAGTATACTCGGCTCTGATACAAACACAGTTTTTCGATTGTGCAAATAGGTAGTCCATCTGAGTAATGGGAGACCATCTGAGCCATTCTTAATCTGATTCCTGAAAGAACCGTACTTTGTTATAAATAGCATTGCTCAGTAATCACCACTGGAGGGTTCCCGAATTGAAGCACCTTGGTCGGTTTCAAGCACATTGAATATGCACAGAGCTATTGCAGGCTTAATGTGAACTTATTGCCACCCCGCGTCTTTTAGTGCCAGAAATAAAGCTGTAAGTGGAGTAACTTAATACAGTGAACTGCTTTATTCTGTTACTGCACTAATGCTAATTAGATACACTTGCTTTATTACCCAGAGCACTTTTGCTGTATTCATTCTGATCCAATCTTTCTACCAGCACGAAGGAGTAAGTCCTAAGTGTTAAGTTGAAGCTTTTAGTCGCAATTGCAGGCTGATGCTCTCATGTGGCCAAAGTCAGAGAACGCTCGGAGAGAACGCTTTGTCCACTTAGAGTACAATTAGAGCCCCGTCGGACTTCTCACACGGAGGGTGCCCACAGTGCCGACAATTATGCTTCGGAAATGAGTCAGACACTTATCGGTACATTTAATGCAATTTTTTTCTTGACCTCTTCAAGATACCCAGCTTTATGGGGAATAAATAAGTGTGTGAGGATTCCTTTCTCACTTCCTCTAATCAGAGCAGAGAATTTGCTGATGGCTTTGAAAGATGTATTTACCCAAATCAGACTTTCCACTGCACAATTACCAGCTTTTGCAAAAACACATAATGAGAAATTTATTGTCTGATTCTGGACCTGAAATTATGATCATTTTATGGGGAAAAGCCAGTAGTTCCAGCATATTAGATGCCTTCTTTCTTTCACTGAGTTCAGAGCTTTTCTATTTTTTAAGCTGGCTGTTCCACCTTCATGAGTGGTATGGGGATTTTTATTGGGCTGTAGATGAGCATTTGTTTTTTTCTACTTACATAAAGTCATCAAAAGTGTAAAGTAGATGTGGCCAGTTGCATGATGCAAACCATGGGATTTTCATACATGTTTCATATGAAAAAGAGAATAAAGATTACGTACTTGGTAAGAACCTTATATATAAATACAGGTTAGAAGCATTTTTTTCCGTTTTTTTAAATAAAAAATCCTATAGGACACTCAAAAGTCAACAAAAACTATGTGTCTAGAAGACTGTGGTCTAAAAGACTCTATGTTTAATATTAGGATTATGTGGACTTCTGTGTAGACTTTTTCTAAAATCAGAATACGGTCAGCTACATTCTTCATGGAAATGTTCACTAGAGTGTTACTGTGAAAGTGGCAGTTTGAAAATTAACATACCTTGTTTATTTAAACAGTCACAGAGCACAGTAAAAGTGAAAACCACATAAACCAGGTGTCTTTCTGCAAAAGCACTGGGTATAAGTTAGTTACCAGTTGGGTCATTCCCACACAGAACTAGAATTTGTGGGTGGAGTTTTATCTCTAAGAAATAAGAGAAAGCACCCAGTTTGACCCACCCCCCCACCTCCGTGAACAAACCAGGTCATTCTGTGTCATGTAGAATGATCCAAGACCATGCCAAAAAAACACCTGAAGTGTTATGTTTCTATGCACCCAGATCTCAAGAAAACAGACAGTTTGAAAACTATATATCTTGGCAACTAGAACATCACTCAGGGGAAGCAGGTCTAAATATGTTTTTTTTTTTTTTCCACTGGAGGAAGGAGGGGAAAGTGTGGGTTAAGGCGGGAACAGGGATTTCAGTTCTGGGCTTGATCTGAGTTGAGGTTTGCCAAGGCCTCTCTTTCACGATTGGTGCCTGAATATCCCCTTACCTTCTCGCTGGAGTCTGGACCCTTCATAATTTTCCTACGTGAGTTCACCCATTTTACATTATACTCTTTTATTAGTTTTCTATTTCTACTGTAACAAACTACCACACAAGTAAGTGGCTTAAGACCACACCAATTTATTATCTCACAGTTCCAGAGGTCAGGGCTCCACCACAGGTCTCACTGGACTGAGATGCAGGTGTCGGAGGGCTATTCATTCTGGCAGTTCTGCAGAATCTGTTTCCTTTCCGTTGCCAGCTGTCAGAGGCTGCCCACATTCCTTGGCTCCTGGCCCTTTCCTCCATCCTGCCATCCAGCGAGGGCACACTGTTGCCTTCTCACTCTGACCTTGCTGCTGCCCTCGCAGCTTTTCCTGACTTTGTTTTTCTGCCTCTGTCTTTCACTTCTAAGGACTCTTGTGATCACATTGGATTTAACCCGATAACCCAGGACGATCCGACTCTTAGCAACCTTAACTCCACCTGTAAACTCAATTCCCCTTGGCAATGTAACATAAAAACCCATGGCATTTCCACACACAGCTCCCCAGAGCTAATCAAAATCCAACACGTTTAAAGGACCAGCAGAGCTCTCTTTCCTGTACAATGGCCCTCAGCCTCCCAGACAAAAGTGGTCTTGCTCTTTCTTCTGGGCTGTTGCAGCTTCTTCCTAAACTGTGTCTTAGTTTCTCATTGCCTTACCCCACACCCATAATGAAGGGACACTTAGCAACCAGAATTATCTAGCCAAATATCTGACCCTATTGTTTCTCCGTTTAGAAAATCCATAATGACGTCCCAGTTAGGTTACAATTACGTCTTTGATTGGCCACGGAGACATACACAGTTTTTTCTCGTAACCAACCCCTGCGCAGTTCCCCACCCTCATCTCCAGCCCTAACCCTTTAGGATCCAGCCCTGTGGAATGTTTTACTCTCTCCAAGTATGGGAAGCCTTTTAAAATTTTACCGCCATCACATATGGGTTATACTTCCTTTCTCCTACTAAACTGTCAGTCTAACCTAAGCTCTGCCACTCTCCAGCATCAGGCCAATCAAAGTGATAACTGAGCAAATGCCACCTCATTGAACGAGAGAACAGCCTGATTGCTTTTCTACAGAAAAAACTGGGGAAGTAAAGACCAAACCAAGTTGCTCTTCCAAGAGGTTTTCTTCATGCTTATATTACTATCCATTGCACTTGGACAGTCATCTGCTTGAAGAAGCAGGATGATGACTCGGACTCCTCACTTCCTGTGCTTCTTTACCTTTGATCTGCTTGACCCCTGTGGGCAGTTGGGTGTATCACCCTTGGCCGGGGGTGGGGGGTTGGGAGGTGTGCTCACATTCTGAGATGGATATAAAATTAGTGGTGTTTCACAGGCTAATATGTGTGATAAAAGAAATTGTATTTTATTCTCAGATTAGTTGAGGAAACAATATATCAAGTGATAGGACTCGACAGAGGGTTTTTGTTTGTTTGTTTATTTAATTAGGCTTTTGAGAGTTATTTAGATCTCAAGGTATTTGGGGAAATAGCCATGTCATTGAACTTGGTGTCTTATTATGCTTTTTTACTAGTAAGAAAGGATGCGTATATTCAAAATGGGCACTAGGACATATTAATTACATTCAGGAATTAGACAATATTCTTCTCAACAGTTGTATTTAACATTACTTTGTTAGAAATAAAATTAAGAATAAAAAAGCAAGTTGCAGATATTAGAAAAGAGGAAACAAAAGCAGATTATGTAGATTATGTGACTCAGAAATCCCAAAAGAATGAAATGAAAAGTTTTTGAAACAATAAGAAAATTCAGTCAAGATACCAAAAAAAATAATGTATACAAATTATTTGCTTTCATAGGCCAGCAATTACCCACTTGAAAAATATACTGAGATAAATTATTAATTTATAATATAAACCAAAAATAAACAATAAGTATGTAATAGCTACAATTTTTTAATGGTAGAAATAGTTTTTAGTAATTGGTAAAACAATGCTGCTTTTGGAAAGGAAGTTTTAATATTTAAGATGCAATAATTTGCCTCTTCTAAGTTGGTAAATTATAAGAATGACCTTTTTTAGTACTTATTATGGATTGATATCTCTTCCTTCATCTTCTGGACTACTTGTGATTTGGACAAGAAAGTGAGGCTTAAGCCTTGAAATAATTTGCCCAAGACATCATGCCTGCCTTGTCAAATAATGACCGTGTGTTCTTTTTTTTTGTTTGTCCCACCAAGTAGTGTGTTCCTTGGAAGTGGGGCCCTGTTTCATTTGCATTCGTGTCTCCTGTGACCACTGGGGCAATAGATACTTGGGTTCAAACCCAAGCTCTTGCTTGTCCCATTTATTTATGGCAGGGGTCACAGATCCAGAGGCTGATAGAAACTGGGCAGGTGAAATGCATGTGTTCTCTAATGTAGACCATTCTAGCCCATGATTTTCTTGGGCCCACTGGGCCTCAAAATCGGAAAATTTAAAGATTTTTAAAGAGACCTTGGAAGCCTTAAATTTTTTTATCTGAAATATTTGGATTTTTAAATATTGGCAGCCTATTTAAAAAGTTATCTTTTTTTTTTTTTTTTCATTTGAAGTAAATCTTACTGGTGGCAAAATTCGGTCTGTGGCCTGCCTCTTTGAGACCCTGGATTTTTGCATGTTGCTTTTACCTCCTTTTTGGTACCATAAATCTAGGAGCAAGAAAGTAAAGAGGGCTGATAAGAGTAATGAGGTTTCCAGGTATGGGCTCCTGCATCTCTGTGCCAGAGGGTGAGTGGCCAATCCATTTCATCTTCATTCTACCAGTTCCAAAGCTGGGTGAATCATTGCACATTCGTGCATGGGTGTGTTCACCTGTTTGTAACTGTTTCTGAAAGAGGCTGCAGAGGGAGAGTCTTGGGTTTAATTTCCCGAAGTCCATGAGTAGGAATTTAAGATTGTTCCCATACCATCTTCTCAAGCAGTGGTTCTGTCTTGTCTCCCCATCAGGTGTTTTTGGTCACCGTCTGGAACTTTGAACTGTACATGATCCCCATGGCCTTGCTGCTGCTGTTTGTCTATAATTTCATCAGACCCATGAAAGGCAAGGTTGGCAGCATGCAGGACTGTCAGGTGAGCAAAGATTCCAGTAATTTTTAGAAATTAGAAAAAAATAATGTTACCAATAGTACACCACCACCAAATCATGGCCCAAGTTTACCTGGTTTGAGACTCAAGGAGCCACCCACACACTCGTCCGTATGAAAGTAGAGATCTTATATTAGGTGGTACCTGCGGTCTTCCTTCTCTAGCACCTTGTGTTGTTGAGTCTTGACCCAATTCCTCAGGATGGGGAGAGCCCTCTGGTTCTTGGTCATCCTTCCCTGCCAGTAGCATGTGTCCCTGTGTGCACCTGATGCTTGGGAAGGTTACAGTGAAGAATAGTCTCAACCACTAGAGAAACAGCCTTTGGTGGCTCTCTGAGCCTCTTCCGGGGACCCAGAGCCTCTGGGAGGCTGCCCGAGGTCTCTCCACCCAGTCTCCCCTGCAGTATTCACCTCTGGCCTAAAGGCTCAGGGGATTCTTGGAGGCTTGCCAACTCCCAGGCATACCTGAGCGGGGGTGGGGATGCACCCCGCTATTGTTGAGAGCCCAGGTTTTTCTTGTGATCCTCACACTTCCCATGGTGTTGAAAGAAGGTTCAGCAAAAGGCCTCGGGTCAAAGACACCCCAGCTGCCCCTTACTTTCCTTCTTCTCTATGTCTTCTCCCCCAGACCTCTTATCCCAGCTCGGAGACCTTTTCCTGCCCCCAGAGAGCAGGAACTCATTCACAGGCATGCTTTATGGTACACCCTTGGCATTCCAGATCCAAGACTCCAGTTTTTTAAATAGAAATCTAAGATTTTGAGACTTGGTCACAGATCAGCTTCACACTGGGTTTTTCTAGACTCAAAAGGTGATTGTCTTCACATATTTTCCCTTATAATGTCCTCATTATTTTAAAAAATCATCTTAAATTATGGATAGGAATACTTCTGGTATCCTTTGGGATATAGGGGAAGTAGGGTAATGAGTGTTTTGGCAGGGAGTAAAACCTCAAGCAAATTCAAATTCTGTTCTGTTTGATTTTGGATTGTCTAATGGAGCAGTCATGGATATGCATCAATAATAAAGGGCCTAAAGGTGTTAGGATCATCTGATAAGTAAATAACTTTAAAGGTTCTTTTAAGAACTAAGTTTCACAGAGGTACTGATAAGGGACATTTTTACTGAGAAATATTTATAATAAAAATGCCATCAACTAACATTTTACAACTTTCAGATTTTTTCTAGCTGTGTATATGATATGTATATTTATAGCATGTATATGTGTATTTTTATACATAATGTATATAAACATATACCTGGGTACATGAGTCCAATGTATATGCATGTGTATATAAGAACTTTTTAATTTGTAAAACATTTTCAAACTCATGACCTAATCAATCTTGATAACACAGCCATGATGGAGGCAAGAATTACTATTTTCATTTTAGGCTTTATGAAACTAAGGCCCAGAGTGCCAAAGTGATTTGCCCAAAGTCACACAGCAAAAAGTGCTGGAACAGTGTGTCAAGCTCAAGACCATGTCAAGCCAAAGACTTTGAAGTCCCAATTACAATTTTTTTCTCCCATTAAATCTTTTCATTATATTTGTTTTTATCCATTTGTCATGAATGCTGCTTGCTCCAATAGTGACTAGGTTAACTCTCCAGCATCAGTGAGTGTCATACCATGTGCTAGTTCAAGTTCATGGGGAGGGTGACTGGTCAATGGTTTTAATGGAGTATAGCAGAGTACTCTCTGGATACTTTGGAGTTACTCCCTCTTAAGAGCATAACATGGACAAATATTTTTTCATGGGAACAGTGACATCAAAATAGCACGTCTGACCTTTGCAAGGTTAAGTAGGAAGGTAAATGTTCAAGCTGAAATGGGCTCGGGTTTTTTAATACCCAGCATTCTTTGCAAGCTACCGAACACATTTGAATATGAACCAACAGGTGTTAGCTTTTAAATACTGCCGTGATATGATTGAAATTTACTTAGTTGATATACAAGACTTTAAAAAAAATCTGAACCGACCTATTTGCGTCACAGCTGGTGCTGTGACCCCTGAACCAAAGCCAGGTACCCTTCGGTCCATATCAGACCCTAGTTTTCTTCCCTCACCTGCTTTCCCCCACAGCCTGAGCCCAAGGAAAACAACAATGCCATACAGAAACCTGTGACTTATTCTTGAGATTGATTATATTCAGACTAATGGATTTTTCTACTGTCTAATGTTTCAGTAATGGCCCCAAAGGAAAAGAGAAATCATTATAACAATGAGCCTAGCACAATCGGGGTATGGTGTTCTCAGGCTTAACGCAGCAGTTGGTTCATTTGTCAGAATAAGAACAAAACTGTTTACAGAAAGTACAGCTCGGCAATGCATTTTTAGAGCTGGATGCCTCCAAAGGGCACTGGCTTAATAGCTTTAGTAATAGTCAAGTTTTGTAAAGATGATGTATATTGTTTCTACTTTGGCCACAGTGGCCTTGAACTTTAAAAGTGTCATTTTAAAGAGTGTTTTTGAAATATTGTACTTTAAAAATACTAGTGCTTAAATTATGTAGAAAAATTATTAAATGTGAATGAGTTTAGTTTGCATTTGGGAACTTCAGGTGATATTTTATTAACAAGTTGTGGGTCTTCCTTTCAGGATAGCACAGACATAGATGATGAGGAGGATGAAGATGACAAGGTGAGTGTGCCAAAGAAAGAAACACAAAAGGCCAGGGCATTAATGTTTTTGGCAGATACTGTATTCTTTGGACCATAAGATGCACCTAGGTTTTAGAGGAGGAAACTAGGAAAACAAATTTTGAAGCAAAAAATGTGGTAAAATATTTAATAACATAAATAACATAATATTTCACCAATGTAAATGTAAACAGAACTCAACAGCAGCGTTAACAACCTTTATTCCTCCCGAATTTGGGGCAGAGGCGGGAGGGGGTGCGTCTTATAATCCCTCAAACACGGTAACTTCCAGGTTGAGTCAAAATGCTTTTTTTTTTGTACTGTAGAGTGACCAGTATGTTAATATTTTTGTCATTAACAAAGGGATCCCTTTTTGAGATATACTTTTATTTATTTTGTTTCATTCATTTTTAAAAAAATGAAGATGAAAAGGGGCAAAATATAAGGAGTCACTGAAATAGCATAAAAAGCATACCTGTAGGAGGAGGCCTGTCATTGGCTGCGAGCGAAGGTTCGCCGTCTCCTTGGTGTGTGACAGGTGGACGGAAGATAGCCTGGGAAGTCGCGAGGAAATCCAGTGAGACCGCTCCTCCTTTAGGTTCCTGTCTGCACGCGGCGGGGTGGTCACCCACGTCCGAGCCTGTCACTTCCCCAGCTGTTGCTGGCAATGTTTGCAGCTCTGTGTCTGTGTACATCTGTCCTTTTCCTTCTCTTGGGGGACTCTCTCAAATCTGCTGCTTTTGTTGTCATTATGCTTTCAGACAAACCTTCTGCAATAAAATGAAAAAAGGGACATGCCAAATGTGACGCCATCAGCTTAATGGACTCCCAGGCCCCCAGAACCTGCGGGTACAAGGGGCACCTGGTGGCAGTATGGGGGCCGCTTGGCTGGGAGAAAAGGGGCAAAGGGGGAATCTTAAGAGTTAGTGTCGAATATAAAATGCTCAGGAAATAGAAATGAATTTAGAAAGCACCAGCTCTACAACACAAAGAGCCTTAAAATGAATCAAGAGAGCCAGATGGTTTTGCCCATTTGTAGCAAATTGTGGGGATTACGAGGTAAGTCTTAGCTGTTGTGTTAAAATGATCATTCATGGCAAAATAATAAAGTAGTAATTTTTTTTTAGTGAACTGCCCTTTTACAGAACAAAGGTCACCCAGTTGCAACTTTCTTTTTGATGAATCGGTGTGCGTGGTTTCTGAGTGATGTGACTCCTTGAACATTAGAAGTAGGTATAGCCAAGCTAAAGGGCATGATGGGCTGTTTCACTAGAGGCAACGCTGTCTTAATGAGGTTATTTTAGACCCACACTAGGAAAAATTCTAAATTTTATTAACAAAGCCTTGGCAGTGAGGAAGATTTCTTTCTGTTTGGCCAACCCTTTTGAAATGAGCCACCCATGGATGCAATAATAAACTGCCCTTTAGAGATCAGGGTGACCTTGTGACTTTGGCACATCTGATACAGCAGAGCCTTCAGCAGAAAGGCAAGGAATGAAAAGGTGGTGCCAATACACTGGCAGTGAACAGATTCAAGTCCTGGTCTCTAGATCGGTGGTTGTCAAGGTCTAACCTTCTACTGAGTTGTCTCAGAGCCTTCAAGTCCTTGGAGGCAGGGATGAATAAGTTGGAACCATAGCACCAAATTGGGTGAGCCTTGGAGCTGTTACATTCATCCAAGCCTGGCCCATCCCACACCGAGGGGCTTGGTCCTAGGACTCTCCCTACTTCCTCCAGGGCAATTTTGTTCTTGAGGCACTTTGTAGTATTTTCACAAAGCCCTTAATAGCCACCGTGTGGCCATGTCTGTTTTGCTTCCTCGATATACTTCTGAGAAATCTTCCAGCAGGAGTGTCCAACCCACAGCCTGTGGGCCGCATGCTGCCCAGGATGGCTATGAATTCGGCCTCACACAAAATCATACATTTACTTAAAACCTTTTTTTTGCTTATCAGTTTTCATTAGTGTTTGTGTATTTAATGTGGGGCCCAAGACAGCTCTTCTTCTTCTAGTGCGGCCCAGAGACGCCAAAAGATTGGACACCCTCTAAGAGGAATGAGTCTAAAATGAAAAGTGGACTTCTATTTATGTGTAATAGAGCCCCTCCATTGTTAGGGGATTCTGGCAAACTGCACAGTCCTCCTCCATATCTTTTCACTCTCGCTTCTGAAAAGATTTGTAATTAAGGGGATTTTCAACATGAAGACCTCCGGAGCACTCGTCATTCACATATATCAGAATTTTCCATGCACAGCAGCCTGCATACTGAGATGTGCTGGTCATAGACCAGCATGGCATTGCGGGGCTTACCCACATGGCCCTTCTGGCTTCTGTTGCATGTTAGACATGACAGACCGTGCTTCTGGGAAGTGTAACACACCCAGCAAGACAGGAACTGTTTACAAATTATAAACACACAGTCGTTTCCTTCCAAGCCAGAAGAAGACAGGGAACTCCTTTCTCTCCAAACTATCCATCTTGAAAGTGACACTTCTTAATTGCCAGCGCCCCTTCCCGCCACATACCATCCCAGACAACTGCGGAGATGAAAGGGCGCCGGGCCCCCCGGTACCCCTTTCGCGGGAGGTGGATGCTCTCCCATATTCTGCCTGTCTCCGAGGCACAGACCAGGACACTGTCTGGGGTCTGTCATCCTTTTATTGTCTGAAGCAGGGATTGTTGTAAAATGACATCACAGTAGCCTCTTGCTCCCTTCTCTTGTTCAGAGTTCATGGTAGCAACCTGTATTGGAAACCAAATTAGACTTCCCCATCTCACCTTCCTTTCTTTACTGGGCTTTCAGTCACAACAGAGAACTTGCTGGTAACTAATTCTCTGGTTTTTAGGGAACTAAATGTACAAACTAAACTTTGAAGAGAGGAAAAGATTTTTTTCACTTCTTATACCTGATAGGCCACACAAGACTCGTTTGTTACACGTAGAGTTTGCTAGGGACCCCAGAACACAGATAATGATGAAGTTCAACCAACAGCAATCAGCTGACATTTCCTATGTGTATTAGATTCCATATGTGGAATTCTTCCTTGTGGACCTTATTTGTACGGATGGATTACAATGAAAATTGCATTAATTTTCTACACGGTAAAGGTCAGTAATTGAAGCATGAACCAAGAAACTATTGTGTAAAATGCTGTATTCCATACTTAGGAAAGGTCATGCAAAGCACTAATATCTTGTTTTCATTGTGGAAGGTATAAATACTTGCATTCCAGTTTCTTTTTCTAGCCCAATAATTACTTACATAGAGTAGTTCAGCATTTACTATTAACATCAGGAAGGAGAAATCATAAGGGCATGTAATAATAATTTTAAAAAGTACTGTTTATTGCTCTCATAAAGACACTACACCACGATGCTTGACATTGTGCGTTTTTTGTTTTGTTTTGTTTTTAGCTCAGCTGTCAGAATGGGACTTGAGTAATCTGTTTTTTGGGGGGGGATGATCAAAAATTTTACAATGCCTTACGGTGTTTAGGGGGAGAAAATTACCCTTTTATATTAATTATGGGTAAAAACCAGATAGATATGTTTTCCTTTAAGAAAATAAGGAACATCCAATACACTTTGTTGATCAATGGTGGAACATTTTATAATGAAAAGATGAAAATAAATATTACACTGTATCTTCTTTTCATAAGTTAGGATGTCATTGTTAAAATTTAAGTACTTTTTAAACCATCGGTCTCAGCGTTTAAAATAATTTTCATCCTCCACACTGATTCGTCCACCCCTCACGACCCAGGCAAAGCCTTTTAGAGAAAGGAACATGTGACATATGAATTCAGAAGGGATTCCTGCCACAGGTTAACCTGCATAGTCCTTTGGGTGAGTTTGGTAGGCCCATCAGGCCTCACGTCTTGTGTTTTCTTGTTTCCAGAGAGAGAAGATGATCTGTAGTATCTCGGCCAAGGAAGACCCTCATTCTTGGAGGAAGTCTCCTCACAGTCCAATAGTGAGAGCAGTTTTACTTAGGATTCCTTTGTGATTTAGGAATACCCCAAACAGAGGAAGTTAGTTTGATTAGTGATTTTTTTTAAACTATTGACCGAATGCTGGTATGTTAGGATGGTAAGGGATGGTATTTTTAAGCAAGTAAAAAGTCAAAGAATGTCTTTGAAAGATTAGCAACGATTGAATACATTCACACACGTTTTAGAACCTCTGCAAACTGTGCCCAGGGCATATTGTGGAGGACCTGCTTATGGGTAATTTTCAGGGGAATAAAGTAAATGGCCCTTCTGATTTAACTGCTTTTAATTTGATTTAATATGAATTTTAGTGATGAAGTAATTTAATTGCTAACATTTCTACCATACCATCTTAGTGTCAAGACTTTAATATTAAAATGGATTCCAGCCAAATCTTAATGATTGGTTTATGCACATTTGAATGAGAAGCGATTGGCTTCCTTACTTCCCGTAGTCTTTTCTCTGACAGGCTGACCAGCTCAAGTTTTCCTGTTAAACATGAAATCTCCATTCTTTTTTTTAATAAATTTTTTAAAAAGATTTTATTTCTTCATTTTTAGAGAGAGGGGAAGAGAAGGAGAGAAATATCAATGTGCGGTTGCCTCAGCTGCCTCTCCCGCACCCATACTTGGGGACCTGGTCTGCAACCCAGGCATGTGCCCTGACTGGGAATCGAACTGGTGACCTTTTGGTTTGCAGCCTGTGCTCAATCCACTGAGCTACGCCGGCCAGGGCAAAATCTCCATTCTTAAAAATGCTTTGGCTTCATTACCTCTAGAAGGAGTCTAGAAATGTTACTAATCTGACCTTTTAAAGCATTCATCATCCTACTTACTATCAGGCTCACCAATCCTAGTACTTGTGCTTCGAGATTTCTACTGTAAGGATTATACTTCTGTCACTCCCAAATATGGTGAAATATGAATGTACCAGCGTGTACATTAGATGAATTATCTATCCTTCTACTAGCTAATGTATACTAACAGAATACAGTCATAGGCTCTGATTTTAT